TCGTTCTCCTCCTCCTCGTTCTCCTCCTCCTCCTCCTCCTCCTCCTCCTCCTCCTCCTCCTTCTCGTCCTTGTCCTCCTCCTACTCCTCGTCGTCCCTTTTCTCCTCCTCCTCCTCCCTCTCCTCCTCCTTTTCCTCCTCCTCCTCGTTTTTCTCCTCCTCTTCCTCCTCTTTTGCCAGTTCATTTTGCCTTCAATGAAGGCTTGAACAACTTCTCAGACGGCCGGGAGGGGGTCCGAGCCTTGTGAGAAAGCCGTTTCTTTTTCACTTCCCCCCATGCTCGCCGCCGACGTCAACAAGATCACGGCGTCGAAAGTCTCTCCATTTTCGGCGCCGGTGGGGGGGCATTAACCAGGCGCCCTTGGAGGCCGTCAGCACACAATTCGGGATGCCAAGGGGACGCGCTACGGAACGTGCCAATGGACGTGCCACGGGCCGGGCCAGGGGACGCGCCCCGCGACGTGCCAAGGGGACTCGCCACAGGACGCGCCACTGAACGTGCAAGGGACCGTACTGGGCGACGCAACAGAGCGTGCCAGGGAACGCATCAGGGAATGTGCCACGGGCGACGCGCCAGAGCGTGCCAGGGAACGCATCAAGGAATGTGCCACGGAACGACCCTGACCCAGGGCATGGGTGCCTCGTAAATTACGCTGCGTCCGCGCTCCCAAGGCCACGATCCCTCGTGAATTACGCTGCGTCCGCACTCCCCGGGCCACGATCCTTTGCAAACTACGCCACGTCCGCGCTCCCAGGGCCGCGCTCCATCGTGAACTACGGTCCGCGCTCCCAGGGCCACCTTCCCCGGGAAATGACGCTATGCACAACTCCCAAGGGGGCCCCGAGAGGACCCCAGAGGACTCCAAGGGGGACGCAGTAAAATCAGCTCGACTCATCGGCAATGCTTCTAGCCCGGATGGTGGGGATACTTGTTTGTTCCGCGGCCCGCAAGGAAAAGTCCAGAGGGCGTGAGTACCGAGGCTGGGGCACAGCGCAAGATAATTAGCGCGAGAACGCGCGGAGTGCACATGCAAGGACCAATTAAGGCCACGGCTGGCGTAAGCCAGCGAGGAGTCGCCCTGACGGCGCCAACTCGCGAAGAAACAGACACAAGCAGCCAGCCGCGAGGCACGCACAGCCTGCACCTGTGCAGCAGCAGAGGCCAAACCACGGATGGTGGGGATACGCAGGGCGTGAAGAATTGACCCGAGCTCTGACCTTCGCGCTCGGGCCCATAACTACAAACGGAACAGACCTCGGAGGCGAAGAATAGCAGTCGCGACGGGTCCCTTGGAACACCAGGCAGAGACGCGCCCTCGGAAACGTCAAGTCCTCTGTGCCTTCGGGGGGACGGGGTCGCGGCGCGGCTGCGGGGGCCTGGCGGCGCCCCGCTCAGCTCAGCGGCGACGGGGTCCGATGCACCCAGGGGGGCCCCGTGACACAGACGCTCTTGGGCCAATGGCCCTCCCCCCTACCTCCAAGCAAACCACTTCTCTCTCTGAACTCTGGGCTTGTCTCAGAAGCGCAGGGCTCCCGGCAAGAGATTGCAATCCTGGTGGAACTCACGGCTCAGTCATCCGGAGTCGACATGGGGCCTCGCTACCACCACAATCCATAACTCCACCCGCTGGGGCCTTTTCTGCCAGGAGGGTGAGGGACGCAGAGAACGCGCTATCAAAATTATGCCAAATGATTCGGCTGGACGGGCTGCTGTTAGCCGTCTTCCTGTCACAGCATTGCTAACTGGTGCTGGCAAGGTGGTAGAAGAAACGGCAAGCGAGAAAAGCCCAGCTCCCAGGGTGGGCCCTGGCGGAGTTAGCCCACAAGGGTGACCTGGCCGCCAACGTGTGCAAGAGCGCATCCTCGCAGTCTCGGCCCACATTGCCAACGTCTCTAGTGAGCGGTACGGGGACAACAGTGCCCGAAGACCGAGAGCGAGAAACTGAGAGGAGAAAAATTGAAAGAACCAGCCTCCTCAACAATCTGAGGACCGCTACCACCCGGACCATGGTCGAGAAGCACAGGACACCCTGGCGGCGATCTGCCTGTCTGTCCCACGTCGCCGCCCTCGGGTTCGGCGAACAGCTGGCTCCAGCGGACGGGCTCCCTTCCAGGATACACCCCGGCCAACTCCGATTCCGAAGGGTCTTCTGGTGCAGCGACGGTGGCGGCTTGCCGCTCGAGTCTGTTCCAGGACGGCTTCGGAACACGACAAGCGAGGCATGAACGCGCTTGAGGGAGGGAGGCGCACGTGAGATATCAAGGCCTGGCAAGAGCCTGAAACCCAGCTGGCGCTCCCGACGCCTACTGCACTGTTGTAGATCATGTTTCGTTGGGGGGGGGGCGGTTGGGTGATGCAAGCCCCGCCGAAGTGACAACACGGTCGTCCTGTTGCCCGCCCCCAGACTAGTAGCTTGGGTTCAGCAGTTTGGACGCCGCCCCCAGGTTAAGCAAGAGGCACCGGGAGGAGAAGGAGGAGGACGAGGAGGAGCTTGGAGAGGAGTTCGAGGTCGAGAACGAGAAGGTGCAGGAGGAACAGGCGGACTTTGAGGCCCAGTATGAGGGGAAGAGGTCGAGGTCGTAGAGGAGGAGGTTTGCTAGCGTATCGGGCTTGCTGTTGGGACTCTGGCTCTTTGGCCCCGTTCACACCACAGCGTGGACGAGCAACCACCCGTCCACGGGAAGGGGCAGGAATTGCAGGAATTACCGCCATCGCGAAGCGACCAAATACGAAATTCCACCACTCGAGCAATCATGCTCCGAGCTCAGACTCGCTTGAATCTAGGGTACAGGTCACGAGTTACCCTGTCGACATACTCGCGCCTGGTCTGGAATATGGGTATAATTTGCATGGCTCACTCAATCCCATGAGCTGGGACTGGACGGAACCATAATCTTTCCAGCGCCACAATCCAAGAGCATACGCATTGGGGCATGCGACGGGTGGGCCCAACCTCCAGCGATATGCATGAAATGCGCCCCTTGAACCCGAGACACCATACCATTCACAGAGATGAGGGCATGGCACTCACTGTTTAACCATTCGGTCGCAGCGGCAACGGTAGATGGCCCTTTCCACCTCGAACAAAACCCTACCACTCTCGGACAGGGTGCGTGGAGACGCGAAGTGAGCTATGGCGGCAGGAGCAGGCGGCGGCGGAGGGAGAGGTGAGGGCTGGGATGCCGACTCGACGAGGGTGGGAGGCCGGGAGGCGAGGAGCCCGGGGGGGTAGGCCGAGGGCGAGGAGGAGGGAGGAGCTGCAGGGGGAGGAGATGGCCGAGGTCGAGGGGGAGGAGGCCGAAGCCGAGCTGGAGCGGCGGTGGCGGCAGGGAGCCGTGTCGCGGGGCTGGGGGGGGGGCTCTCGCCGACAGCAGCGCGGTCAAGATGGGCAAGAAGGTCTCGCGGGAGGGGGCGGGGGGGGGGTGGGAGGGGAAACAGAGGCGGGCCGCCACTCGTCGTCGCCCTGCATGTCGCCCTCTCGCTGCCCGTCTTCCTCCGAATCGCCCTCCTCCTCCTCCTCCTCCTCCTTCTCCTCCTCCTCCTCCTCCTCCTCCTCCTCCTCTCATACCTATCCCCCCGCCCCCCCATCCTGCTGCTCCTCGCCGTCCTCCTCCTCCTCCTCCTCGCCGTCCTCCTCCTCCTCCTCCTCCTCCTCCTCCTCCTCCTCCTCCTCCTCATCTTCCTCCTCCGCATCCTCCTCGTCGTCCTCCTACCCTGCCTCCACCCGCTCCTCGCCCTCGCCCTCCTCGTCCGTCTCCTCATCCCGCTCCTTCCGTATCTATTCCCCCCTTGGAACATCAACCTTCTTCTCATATTCCTCCTGGGAACCGATCTCGCTCGTCGTCCGGCTGCGCGTCCCACGCCCTTCGCTCCTCCTCCTCCTCCTCCTCCTCCTCCTCCTCCTCCTCCTCCTCCTCCTAATCTCATCATCATCATCATCATCATCATCATCATGCTCATCATCATCATCATCATCATCATCATCATCATCATCATCAGCAGCAGCAGCAGCATCATCATCATCATCATCATCATCATCATCATCAGCATCAGCATCAGCATCATCATCTTCATCATCAGTATCAGCATGATGATATCATCAACATCGTGATCATCGTCGTCATCATCAGCATCATGATCATCATCAGCATCATCACCATCACCATCACCATCACCATCATCATCATCATCGTCATCATCATCAGCATCAGCATCAGCATCATCATCAGCATCAGCATCATCAGCATCAGCATCATCATCATGATCATGATCATCATCATCATCATCATCATCATCATCGTCATCATCGTCATCAGCAGCATCATCATTATCAGCACCACCATCACCATCACCAGCATCATCATCACCATCATCACCAGCAGCATCATCATCATCACCAGCAGCATCAGCATCAGCTTCAGCATCATCATAATCATCATCAGCATCATCAGCATCATCAGCATCATCATCATCAGCGTCATCCCATACCATCTGTTCCACTCGCATGTTCGGCCTGTAGCTCTGGGTCAATGGCGCCCCCACTTCGCTCAACCTCCTCCTCCGCATCTCCCTGCGTCTCCCCCTCCTCATTCTCCTCGCTCAATCTTCTCGTCCTCCTCCGTCTCCTCTCTCCGCATCCTCCTCGGTCAATCTCCTCCTCCTCCTCCTCCTCCTCCTCCTCCTCCTCCTCCTCCTCAATGTCTCTCCACATCATGTGTCATATGTCCGCCCCCCATCCCCCGACAACCCCCCCCCCCTCCCCACAACCGCCGCACCTGGCTCCTCCGCCTGCCCAGCCCGTCTGCCCGCCGACGACAGGGCGCTCGCGCTCGCTCCGGGTCACCGCGCGACGGCCCTGTGCTTCGAAGAGATCCAAGCTCCTCCTCCTCCTCCTCCTCCTCCTCCTCCTCCTCATCCTCCTCGCAGCATGCACATGACAATATCTTTGGAGGCCTGGAAACGGGCACCAACACCAGCACAGGGGGCTGCCTCCACGGGGGGAAGATGCTCCTAGATTTCGGCGTTAGTGGACAATTCTTCCCTCGGTGGAGGCACACCACTGATATGGGTGTCGGCGTCGACCTCCAGGCCTGCGATAGCTGGGTCCCCGCGGGTGCTCCTGGATCTGCGCTAAACCCCCTCGCTGGCGCGCGGAGCGCCGCCAAGGGGGGGCCCAACGCCCGCCCAAGAAAGACGCGCGAAACTCCGAGAACGTAGGCTTGTACCGCTTTTCTATTCCCCCCTATCGGGTGTTGCTAGAAGTGCCCCTGGCCTAAGGTCCTAAAACAGGTCTAGGATCGGGATAAATCGCTCCAGAGCGTTCTGGAGCGCTCTCAGAGCGTTCCGGAACGCTCTGGAGCGGCCGCGGCGCCCAATACATCCTCCAAACCCGCCGATTCTCAGAGTTTTCGAGAAGTCCCGATCCGATTCTGTCCCGATCTTCGCGTCGTTTTAGGTCCCCCCAGCTCTTCGCCCTACTTGGGAGCCCCTCTGGGCCTCGTGAGGCGTGCTCTGGAGACCGTCTGGGCCACCCTTTGGAATCCTGGGGGTTACCTTGGACCAGGGGCAGTTCTGACAGCACCCGACCCCAAAGGCTCCGGCGTGGGCGGCGTGTGCGCAGCAGCGGGCCACCGCCGGCTCGTGGGGGAAACCGACAAGGTACCGATGCCGCTGCTCCCCGGGCCTCTCACGGGTTGCGCTCTGACCAGGAGTTCGAGGCGAATCCAGGGGTGGCGACGAGGGCCCCCCAGGAGGGCCCAAAAATGGGAAAACGAGGCAAGGGTAGCGGTATGGGTACCCTTCTCTCCTCCGATCCTCCGAGCTCGTGAACGGAGATACAGCGCGCGCTTGACTTGGAGGGCGCCGGGGAGCCTCCCGCAGCAAGAAATTCCAGACAGGGGGGCAGCGGGAAGCGGCGGGTGAGGAGCAGCAGCCACGGCAGGCGCGGCACAATGCGGCCCCTGCGGTGTGAGCACGCCTCCGCATCCTCCTCCTCCTCCGCCTCCTCCTCCTCCTCCTCCGCCTCCTCCTCCGCCCTCCTCCTCCTCCTCCTCCTCCTCCGGCAGGTTCGCGTCGCGACGACCGTGGCGCTGGTCTACGACACCGCCTGGATCGTTCGGCCTTGGGCGATTGGCGGCTCTCCGATCGCCGGGTCGTTCCGGGCGGGCCGCTGCTGGGCAGACGGACGGCACTCCACCTCGAACGCAGGCGAAGGGGGCCGCCGCCGCGTCGGCGCGCCGCGAGCCGGCCGTCGATAAATACACACAGATAAAGAGATTCTCCATATGTTCCCATACTTTCTGAGCTTTCTGTCTTCCCCCCCACTTCCCATAGTTTCCCATATTCTCTGGGAATCGACGATTCATTGTGTCTGTGTTTTTTTCCCCTCCTGAAAGCCTCTCGGCCAGGGTCAGGGAGGCGGGGATTGGCACGACCTGGAAGTGCCCCCCCCCCCCTCAGAGCAAACAGCCATCTCATGGTTGGGGGCACGCGCGCACGCCCTATCGTCGAAAAATATGTGGCTGGTCGCAGTGTCGACGCGTGCTCGACTCCAGCAGAGTCGCAGCGGCAGTGGAAGCTCCCGGGCGTGGTGCAGCCCAGCGCTAAAAGGGAGGATGCAACCTGGAGCCCCGAAGGCGGCCTATGCCCCTCGATTGCATCTGGCTTCCGACTCGCCGCGGAGAAATGGCTGCGCGGACACTCCCGCCGCGCCGATGGAGAGAGAGGGGGGGGGTGCGGAGGCAGGGATACGAGGAGGGTGGGGGAAGCAGCTGCCGCTGGATCGGGAGGGGAGCGAGGAGAGAGAGAGTAGGCACAGGACATGGAGAGGCAGGGGAGGATCAGGAAGAAGGGGCAACGAGCAGGGACCTCCGACGACAAGGCCGCCTCGGACTTGGCGGGCAGCCCGCACCCGATGTGTTATTTTCTCGGGAGCCTTCTCTCTCTCTCCCTCTCTCTCGCTCTCTCGGGAGTGGCCTTGTCAATCTCAGAAGTCTGTGGGCGCTCCCCGTGCCCGGACAGAAGCAGCTGTCGACAGATGCTGGCATGTTTGCTTGCGTGGGAGGGGGGGATGCGGGCAACATTTATATCCATATCCGTTGCGTCTTGGTTTTTGTTTGGAAGGGGCGCCGCAAGGCCGAGGCGCACTGGATATGGATAAAAGTTTAGCCTTTTGGAGGCAGATTATCATCCATATCCAGTGCGCCTCATGTTTCTTGGGAAGAGTGTCCGAAACTCCAAGACGCTCTGGATGTGGATAAAAACATTGCCCGCAGGGGAGGGGCGTGGCGAGGCCCCCCAGGAATGTTCTGGAGTTCACACAAGTCGTGACTCACTTTCACGCCCTTTCGGCCCAGCGCCACTGGAAAAAAGGCGGCGGAGGGTGAGGGGGGAGGGGGGCCGGGAGGGAAAGGCCAGGCAAGTAAACTGGCCTGAGTCGGAAGGAAAACGCCCTCAGACGGCCTGCGGACACCGAAGTGTGGGGAAAAAAACCCTGGCGCAAGGGTCGAGTTGCGGCAGGCGTGCGCAAGGATGGGGGCTGGTGGCGCACCAGGGGGGGGGCGGGCTCGAGGGGGGCAAGGCTTCCTGCCCTCCACTCAAGAAACCCCCGAGCCCTGCCAAGAACCCCCGAGCCTTCTCAGAAGGCCGCTCCCTCAAGCCCCAGCCCCTGGCGCGCCGCCAGAAGAGGAGGACGAGGAGGACGAATACGCTGTGCATGTGGTGGACAGAGTCTGTCACATCGCTTCACAATCCGCGTCGAATCCATGTCGAACGTCGACGAATCAACATCGAATCAACGCGAAACAAACGCCGAATCCGCGTCGGATCCGCGCCCAACCCACGACGGACAATTTACAAGACAGACCGGGTCCAACCAGTATACGACGTGAGGACAGGTGGTGGAGGTGAACGAGGACGAGGCATACGAGGAGGAAGAAGAGAAAAAGGAGCTCGAGGTCGTAGAGGAGGACGTGAAGAAGGAGCAGGAGGAGGAGGAGGAGCAGGAGGAAGGAGGACGAGGAGGACGAAGAGGCAGACGGGTGGTGGAAGGAAGGACGACGAGGAGGACGAGGAGGACGAAGAGGAAGACGAGGAAGAGGTGGTGGACGGGGAGGGCAGCGGCAGGCCTGCCACGCGGAACCCGTCACTGGGTCGGCGAGCTTCAGGGCCACGAACCAGAAGACCTCCCCCCCCCTCGCGCGCGCGCGCGAGGAGGAGGAGGAGGAGGAGGAGGAGGAGGAGGAGGACCGGCGGACCCGCGGGATGCCCCCAGGGCCTCTCCTCAGGCCGGCGGACGCCTCCGAGGGCGTCCGAAGGCACCCGAGGGGGCCCCCCCGCAGCTCTTCCTGGAGGCTCCGGAGGCGTGCGCGGAGTTCGCGCGCCGCTGCCTCGCGCTAGATCCTTGGGAGATGCGCGGGGATCCCGTCGCATCGCCGATGCATTGGTGACGCCGCGCGAAGCTCCGATGCCGCATTATGCCCTTGCGCTGCTGTCCGACGGAGCGATGAGGGAAAGGCGGGAGAGGGAAGGGGTGGGGCACAGGAGGAAAATAGGGGTGGCCAATTGACCGTACAAGAGGGGATGGGGGGGAGGAGAAGGAGAAAAAGGGGAGCACGAGAAGGAGGTGAGAGGAGTAGGCCATCCACGCGGTCTGTCTTAGGCGGGCATCACGCTCGAGGCGATTTAGAGTGGTTTATTTACGTAATGTCTCCTCCTTCTCCACAATTGTCGTCATCTTCGATCTCCTCCTCCTCCTCCTCCTCCTCCACCTCGTCCGCATATTCCTCCAAATCATGTTCCTCCTGCCCGCTTTCCTGCTCCTCTTCTTTCTCCTCGTGTTCACCCTCGTCATCCCCCTTCCCCCTCCGTCCCCTCCTCGTCCCCTCCTCGTGTTTCCCCCATCTTCCGCCTCCTCCTCCCCCAACTTCTCCTTGTCTGCCTCAATCATCTACCGCTTAGCCCTCCTCCTCCTCCTCCTCCTCCTCCTGCGACCCTCGGCATCGTCATCAGTACCATCACGATTAGCATCACCATCATCAGCACCATCATCATCATCATCATCATCATCATCATCATCAGCAGCATCATCAGCATCATCATCATCGTCGGAGGCGTCACCATCATCGTCATCAACGACAACAGCATCATCATCCGCAGCATCATCAACAGCATGAGCATCAACAGCAGCATCAGCAGCAGCATGGGCATCATCATCATCATCGTCAGCAGCATCGCCATCATAATCAGCAGCATAACCATCATCACCATCAACATGATCATGCGTATTATTCCTACTCATATAATTCTTAGTTGAATCACCATCACCGTCATCACTGCATCCCCATCACCACCACCATCATCATCAACAGCATCATCATCATCATCATCATCAGCATCATCATCATCACTATCATCATCATCACCATGATCATCATCATCATCATCATCATCATCATCATCATCATCATCATCATCGCCAGCATCCACAACATCGGCATCAACATCATCATCAGCATCACCATCATCAACGTCATCAACATGGTAGACACTGTCAGCTGCATTATCGTCAACATCAGCATCAGCATCATCACCATCATGAACAGATGCATCGCCATCATCATCATCATCATTTTCCGCGTCTCCAGATCGGCATCAACAACCACATCGTCAGCATCATCATCCTCAGATTCACCATTTTCGCAATTAACATCAACACCGCCATCACCATCAGCAGCATGAGCATAAGCATCATCACCAGCACCAGCATCATCAACATCACATTATCGACAACATCAGCATCATCATCAGCATGAGCATCACCAGTATGAGTAGTAAAGGATTATTGCTGATATATGTATGATTCTTATGACCGTTCCCATGCAATCACCATGATAATTGTAAACATCATCATCATCCTCACCTTCTGCATCATCAACACCATCCGCATCATCAGTATCGGCAGCTTCATCATCATGACATCAGCATCAACAACATCGGCAACACCATCACCATCGGCATCAGCGACAACAGCATCATCATCAGCAGCATCAACATCATGGTCATCGGCAGCCGCAGTTGCAGCATCATCAGCATCAGCATCAACAGCAGCATCATCAGCATCATCAGCAGCATACGCATCATCTGCATCACCATCGGCATCATAAGTTGTATTATTCATAATGTTATAACTCGTGGCTGTCTCAACAGCATAATCTTCATTACAGTGCCATATCCATCATCATCATCAGCAGCATGTTCATGATCATCATGCCCATCATCACCATCAGCATGATCCTCACCATCAGCATCACCATCATCATCATCATCATCATCATCATCATCATCATCACCATCAGCAATCTCATCACGAACCAAATCTCAAACTCCCTAGGCTCAATCGCCGCGTCAACAGGCCCAAAGGAGGCATCCCGAGATCAAGGCAAAAAACATGTCTCTATCCTGCTCTTGTCAGGCACCCCGCCGCGCGAGTCGCGGGGCGCTGGTGTCCTGGTGGGCTTGTTTTCCACCAGCACAACTATAAGTAGGAGGGGACAGTGGTCCTCCTCCTTCTCCTCCTCGTCTTCCTCCACATCTGTCCCCCCTCCAACTCATGGTGGTGGTGTTGGTTGAAAGCAGGCCCATCATGTCTCTCCGCATCCTCGCGAGCCCACCTTGGAACGAACAGGGCGCCTGTCCGTCCAAGGCCGTGCTGCGCGAGGCGCGAGTTTATATTCGCGCCCCTTGGGGGTGGCCTGAGTTCTTCCTCTTCTTCATCATCTTCCTCCTCATCCTCCTCATCTTCCTCATCTTCCTCCTCCGCTTTTCCCCTACCGCCTTCCTGTTCCTCCTCCTCCTCCTCCGCTTCCCCCCCCCCTCAGTACTCCTGTCCCTTCTCCTCCGTCCTCCCTTCTTCCTCCTCCGTCGACCTACAGCCACTTCCCTATGCCACGCTGAACGTTCCACGCCCATGCGGCCGCGCGATGCCCGAGTGTCCTTGATGGGGTGGGTGTCCGTCGTCAAACATGCTACTGGGCATCATGACACGCAGGCTCCGTGTATGTCATGTGACATGTGTGTCTTGGTTCCCACGCGGCTCGAACACGCGTGGGATGTTCCACATAATTCGGAGCCGGATAAGAGAACGACAAGCAAGCCGCTTCCGTCTCCACCTCCAACTTTCCACGCCAACGCGGCTTCGCGAAGCAATAATAGGTGTTTGGGGCGGGAAAACCGTCGTCAAAAAAACGCTGGGCATCCGGGCGCAAGATCCGCGTACGGCATGACATGTTGTTGGATTTTTACGCGTCTGGTGTACTCGCGTCGGACATTCCGCACGCACATGTGAAGCTGCATCGGAAAACGGCTGGCCAGCCGCTTTCCTGTTGCAGCTTAAAAATTTCCACGCCCATGCGGCCGCACGAAGCAAGAGTATGTTTGTTGAGGCGGGAGGCCGTCGTCAAGAATACCACTGGGCATCAAAACGTAGGGCCCATTTTATGTAACGTGAGTTTGGGAGTTGCCGCCCATCCATGTCATGTTTTTTATGGAAAACCTGAATAAGGAAACGGCTGCAATGTGCCTACCCACTCCTACTCCCCCATCCCCCTCCTCCTCCTCCCTCCTCTGCCCCGCCTGGTTGAAGAAAAACGCTGTGCCGCCCAGCAGCAGCGTGGGGACGTCTTCCCGCGCCGGCACGGGGCTCACTTTGAAAATGAAGAGGCCTGGGGCGGGGGGCGGGGGGAGAGGACGAGGGCAGAGGGGGCGCGCGATGGCCACCCGAGGCGTCCGCGCGCGAGCCCCCAGACGCGCACGTCTGCACAGTGCTCCTGCTGGGCCTGTTTTCCGCCTCCACCACCATACAACGTTGTATGAGGAGGAGGAGGAGGAGGAGGAGGAGGAGGAGGAGGAGGAGGAGGAGGAGGAGGAGGAGGAGGAGGAGGAGGAGGAGGAGGAGGAGGAGGAGGAGGAGGAGGAGGAGGAGGAGGAGGAGGAGGAGGGGGGGGGAGGAGCAGGAGGAGCGTATTCTTGGGGACGGGCCTAAAGCCATGCGGTGCATGACCAAAGGGCATCGGACGCTGTCGAATCCAACTCCCCTCCAAAGGGGGTCGGGGCACGCAGCACGGCTTCCCCACGGGCCTTCACCCGGGGGATGTCCTCTTCTCGTCCTCCTCCTCGTCCTCCTCCTCCTCCTCGTCCTCCTCCTCCTCCACCTCTTTGGTCCAGCCGAACTGTTTCACCAACACGGGGTCGCGGGGGGGGGCGAAGGCCCCCCCGCGGGCCTGGACAGCACATCGGGAAGCCGCACCCCTCGGACCGCACGAGCAGAACGAGTAACACGGGGAACGAGGAGGCGGAAAATGGAGGACGGGTAAGCCTGGGGCCGGATCGTCTCCCGAGCACGGCGGCTCCGCCCTGGAACCTCGAACCTGCCACATCCCCCTCCGGAGGTCGGAGGGGGAACCCGGATGAGGACGGGGGAGAAGCGGGTTCGAGTGTTTCGGGACGTTTGTTGTGGATGCCTTCCAGATATTCCTCTCTATCCGCCGTGGGGCGCACAGGAAGCCATCAGAGACCCCCGCGTCATTCAGAAACCTCTGCGCGCATCTCCGAACCCTCCCACGCACGCAGACCAGGAAGGCTGCAGCAAAAAGGCGGCCAGAGAGTGCCCAAAAATGTGGGGATTGAGATGTTCTCCATAGCTGTGCCACGCTGTATTCGTTCTGGCGTGACGAATTCGCCCGCTCCTCCCAACCATCGTCCCTTCGCACTCCTATCTGGCACTCGGCCACATCGAACCAGATGGCAACCGACCATTCTATAGCTGATCATGCCGTGCAGAGCGGTACCATAATAACTAACCAAAGCAGACGAAGAAACACGCACGAGCTGACCAAGCCAAACAGCGCCCATATTGCAGGACGCAAACAAAACGGACCTTGAGAGAGTGAGCATTGCCGCTCCTCCTCCGCCTCCTCCTCCTCCTCCTCCTCCTCCTCCCCGTCCTCCTTCGACCCAACGGCCACGTCAACGACGAAGACGACAACAACCGCGATTGCAACGACGCCGGGCGCCCTCTTCCTCCTTCTCCTCCTGTCATGGACTTGGACTTGGATTGCGGCTCGGAGTCTATCCAAACTAGCCGGCACATTCACTGTGTTACACACCACCACTACCCACAAGCTCTCCCATAAACGCTGAAATTTCAGCCTTGTGGCCGCCTGATATTATAAGGACTCAATGCATGTGTTGTGGAAAGTGCCCCCCATGGCCCAAGGGGGTGCTTCCCCTCTTTCAGCTAAGACCTCCACGACAAACGCCGACGCAGCGCATGTTCTGGCACGCGCGCCGATGTCGGAGTGGACGACCAAGCTGCATTCCCGAAGGAATGGTGAGGGGCACGGTCAGGCAACATCCACAGAGCAAACCTTCTGCACATCCATCGCGGTGTTTGCCAGGCGGTCCGCTGTGACGTTGCACTCCCTCCGGTGCCACGCCACAACGTTGGCAAAAAGGTCCGGTGGATACCGTCCTGAACAAAAAAACAACTTGTCGATGTTATGGCAAGCGCGGCGCACCAGTTGCGAAGCCGACGGGTCCAGGCAAGGGGCATGCCCACCAATGATGCGCTGAAGTGGTTGGCATTCCTCTACAAGCAGTACCCGTCTCGGCGTCACCCCTCACGGCAACGCGACGTCCATTCCACTTTGGGCGTGGGACCCTGGATTGTCGTCGAGAACGTGCCCGTGAAGCTTTCAGCGCTTGACAGCGGGTGCCACCGCAGCGTCCACACACAGCCTGCAGGGTAGGAGCGACAACTGCCGGCGGGTGTAGACTCGGTGTGCGAAGAAAGGGAATATCGCCATCCATTGTCGAACTGGTCGCGGAATGCCCTCCAGTGCGCACCGTAAACCATCAAACATCTTCCCATTCGGCTTTGTGCCCGGGGGCGAGTGCATAAGACCCAAATCTCGTCGGGATCACCATGGGACCTGCGGCGTGCTTGCCCGCGATGCCCGGTTCCTGAAACAATGTGATGGTTTAAAATGACGATGCCCTGCTTGGCAGGATTCGAACTCCTTTCTTCAAGCTTGCCGGAAGATCTTATAGAGAATCCAATGATGAAGTGGACGGCCTTTGAACAGACCTGCCCAAGATCATATTATTCTCGCCGTGCGTTGGTGGGAATCCATGTAGCCCTCGTTTGCCCTCCTGCAAAAGCGGAGTGCCTGGCGTACGGATTTGTACTCCCAGCGTTTGACTGAAAGCGATCACTAACGAAGATGTGACGTGCCACGAGCTGGACCCATCTGCCATTGCAGCTGGAGGTCCCGAGCACCAAGCACACCTCCCCCCCACTTCTGGCGTCCTCCCTCTCCTTCGCCCGCCCCCCCCCCTTCTCGTCCACCTCCCCGCCAGCGCGGCGGGGTGGTCGACCCTCCCTCCCTCCCTCCCTCCCTCCTCCCTCCCTCCCTCCCTCCCTCCCTCGACGAGCCTGCGCTCAGCGCGATCAGAGACCAGAACTCCCGGAAGAGCTCGAAGATGATGGCGCTAGAGCCTCTGGCCGGGGGGTGGTGGGCAGCCGCTCGGCGGCCGAGACCGCGTGGGAAGGGACGGGCGTGGCAGGGTCTCGAGGTATACGCCACGTCGTGCCCTCGGCAAAGAAGCTCGGTGTATATGACGAGCGAGCAACACACACCCATACCCATAGGGAGGTCGTTGGGAGGAGGACTGGCTATGGGTATGGGTGCGGGTTGTCGGACCCTGGGGAACGCTCCCGCTCGAGCGGGGACCCCCATCCGACAGCACGCACCCTTAGCCCCCACCGACCCCTCTATATGGGTATGGGTGTGTGTTGCTGGTTCGTCAGTATAGACGCCCCAGCTGCCCCACCCGTGGGACGCTGGAGCCCCCCTCCTCCTCCTCCTCCTCCTCCTCCTCGTCCTCCTCCTCCTCCTCCTCATCGTATACGCCGAAGTCCGTGGCCGAGCTCCTCGGCTCCTTGGTCGACCGAGCGGCGTGGCGTATACGCATCGAAACCCCCCCCTCCCCGACGCCTGGCCGACCCACGGCAAGGAGCCGCGCGTGAGGGCACCGGGGCACGGGAGAGGCGGCGACGGCGGGGGGGCAGCCGCACGGACAGACACCCAGCGGTCGGGCCCATCCTTCTCACGTTCCGTGGACCCATGACGAGCTCAATCGAATGCTCCAATGGCTGCGCTCGCATGGCACCCAGCGGTCGGGCAGCGCCCGGCCTGGCGCGGGGCGCGGGCGGACGGCACCACGGCGGCGCCCCGGACGAGCTCGCTCGACGGGAGGTACCGATCTCGCTGCTCCCCGGGTCTCTCCTGGGGTGCACTCCGACGACTGTGTCGGGGAGAATCGCAGGAACGTGCGTCATACACGTAGCATTCGAGCCCCAGGACAGGGGCAGTCTATGGGACCATACGTAGAACACATAAGATTCGAACCCCAGGAAAGGGGCACTCTATAGGTATATACGGAAACCACATGCGGTTCGAGGTCATCTATATGAGCATGCGCAACACATCGCAAAACACGTGGGATTCGAGCCCCAGGACAAGGTCAGTATCTAGGAAGATACGTAAAACTCAAGGTATTCGATCCCAGACAAAGGGACAACCCATAGGAATATGCGAACGCATGGGATTCGAATCAAAGGAGGCGGGCACTTTATAGAAACATACATATAAAACACAAGTGTTTCGAGCCCAAGGAGGAAGGGGCACCCTTTAGGAACATGCGCAGAACACATCGGACTTGAGCCCCAGGACGAGGGCACTCGATGAGAACATACGAAAAGAAACACGCGGCACAGCAGCCCAAAGACCAAGTCGTTCCATCCGCAACCGTGCCAAGAATACCGTAGTGAGACGCGACTCTGGACCGAGGTCGAATCCGAATACATACATCCGTGAGCGCGGCTGCATGGCGCTGCTGGATCGCGCCGCTGGACCTGGGAGACGCCTCCCCCCGGCCCCCCCATCTTGGAGAGTGGAGCCCCACGGAAGGCTCCGGCGGCTGCGCTCGCTTGGCACCACCGCGCCCCTGTCAGCACACCTTCCACCTGCTCCGTGGCCCCCTCACGAGCTCCACCGAGGGCCCCAAAAGGCTGCGTCCGCACGCCACCACCGAGCCCATTCCGGAACACCCCCCATGCGCTTCGTGGCCCCATCGTCGAATAACCTCCACGGAAGACCTCGAGTGGCTGCACTCGCATGGCACCACCGCGCTCAGTTCGGCACAACGTTCGCACGCATCAAGAGAATCCCAAGAGGGCCCAAAAAGCTGCCAAGAGAACGCCAAGATGGCTCCAATAGGCCTTCAGGGAGGCCTCCAAGATGCTTCCAAAAGGCTCGCGGAGCGAAACATCAGCGAAGGCCGTCTGGTTGACTCGTCGTTGTCGTCGTCGTCTTCAGCTCGCCTAGTCATCGTATCTGGATGGGCTGGAGGGGATACGCGAAGCGTCTCATCCTCCTCACGGCTCACCCAAGCCTGGAGACACGAAGTGTCACACGCGACGGCTTCCCGTGCCTTCGAACTGCCGCCAATCAGAATTCTGGGCTGGCACGGTGGGGGAACTTGCCGGAAGCAGCTGGATAATAACTACTCTTCAGGAGGCCAGCAGCCTAAACCCAAAGCTATGGGTGCACCTTGGCGCTCCTTGGCGCTCCCATAGCTTCTCGCTAAACTTCTCCAGCAAGACGGGCTCGAAGGCCGTATTGGCGGCCTCCTGGCGCCAGACTGTGCTGTCACAAGGCTCCCGGTTGACCTCCTGGTTGCCTCCAGGATACCTACTGTTTTCTTGGGGACACCTTGGACGACGATTCATCTCTTTTCAACATACATGGCGCCACGGGGGACAATGGCACACAGCTTGCGACCTCACGCCATGTTTTCCTGTCGAGCGGGAATTGCCGGCCCTTGCCCAACATAGCACCCAGGGGCTGGCTTGCCAACTCAGGAAATAAAACCTGGGCCAACGCTCTTTCAGGGAGAAAAGCGTGGAGAAGCGCCTCTCTTCGAGCCTGCCATACTAGGGGAACAAAAAGTGACATGAACATAAAAACTCGGAGGTCCGCGCGGATTTCTCGGATCGGCGCTGGGGCTCCCCGGCGGCGCCTCCGGCGCCGCCCCTGCGTGGATTTCTTCGATCTGTGCTGAACCTCCCTCCCTGGAGCGCGCAGCGCGCCAGGGGCGGCGGCGCAGGCGCCCCCAGGAGCTTCCAGCGCAGATCCAAAAATAGGAAGGCACCAACTATACACCTACACCGATCCTGGCCCAGGATCACCCTGGGCCCAGGATCGGTGTATACGCCCTCCTGCCTTGGGAAAGAAGGCATATACACCGATCCTGGGCCCAGGCTGATCCTGGGCCAGGATCGGTGTTGGTGTATAGTTGGTGCCCTCCGAAAAAAATCCGCGAGGAGCCGAATAGCTCGTAGAGAACGAAAAAGGCTCCAGATTCAGAAGCCGGAGCCGCAGGGCAGCCCCGGAGATCGTTCTGGACTCCGTGGAAAAGCCCCGGCGCGACCTGTCCGAGCCGGAACATGTCCCGAGCGACCCTTCCTAAGCGTTTCCCAACGCGCGTGCCCCGAAGCTCTCCAGCAGGTGTCTTCGCAGCCCTCAAGCGTGCTCCCTGCGCGGCCTGACGTCAGAGGCAAGGACCGGCGGCGGGCGCGGGGGGCTCGCCGTGCACTCCGAACTTTCCCACGATGGCGCCCCCCGCGAACAGGCAGTAGCCGGTCGCGAGCGCGGCGTGGACCTTGTAGACGGAGGGGCCTGTGGAGGGCCACGGGAGGAGGAGGCTAAAGGCAGCCTTCAGATCCGGTCGTGGAAATCTCTTTGCGACGGGCGATTCTACCTCGCTGCAGGCCACGGGACACTCAGAGACCGATCTGGCTCGAAGCGAAAAATGAAGCAGAAAGATGGTTGCAGGGCCAGGGGCGCAACGTCTTGCGATGTCCGCGTTTTATGATTCGGGGTTTCGACATTGGGCGGGAGGCGGGGGGGAGGGGTGGTGTTTGGCTCTGGACCTCTGTTCAACGCGACGGTTTGCTACGGTGCGTCCTATGTGGGAGACTCCACGTGCTTGAAACAGGCGCCCGAAACAGCCAAGATCTGCTCCGTGGCCGGAGCGGGGGTGCGAGGGCCCGCGCCGATCGGCAGAACAAGGAGCACGAACACGATCCCATGCTGCAGTTTTTTTCGTTTGCAGCGCCAGGTCTGGGGGAAGAGGGAGGAGGAAGGAGAGCGGGAGGATTGATAGGGGAACAAACAATTACATAAACATAATAAACAACTCGGAGGTCCGAGCGGATTGCTCGGATCGGCGCTCCGCGCGCCAGGGAGGGGGGTCCAGCGCCGATCCGTGAAATCCGCGCGGACCTCCGAGTTTTTTATGTTTATGAAACTTCTTGTTCCCCTAATTGAAGAGCGTCGAGGAGGGAGGGAGGGAGCCAGGGCGAGGGGGATGAGCAGCAGCCGGGAGGCGGCAGGGGGGAGGGAGGAGGCAGAGCAGGGCGAGCGACGGGGCGGTCGGCAGCCGCAGCAGCAGCAGGATCCGCAGGAGCAGCAGCGGGATCCGCAGGAGAAGGACCGGGAGGAGGGGGAAGGGGAAGGCTCTCCATCCGTCCTCCCCCCCTTTCCTCCTCTCTTCCCCAGTCCCCCCTCTCTTCCTCGCTCCTCCTCTCTTCCACCGCTCCTCCTCTCTCTCCCTGCTCCTCCCCCCTGCACGTTCCTCCTCCCTTCCGCGCTCCTCCTCTCTTCCCCTCTCCATCCTCCTCCCCTCCTGCGCCTCGGGGGCTCGGAGGAGATACAGAGGCGGAGAAGAATGGAGAGGGCCGGATGTGGGTCGGGGAGGAGGCTGGGATGCGGGGCGGGGACGAGGAGGCGAAGGGGGCTGTGCATGGGCAGGACGATGAGGATAAGGAGGAGTGGGACGAGGAAGGAGGAGGAGGAGGAGGAGGAAGGAGATGACGGCGCGGGGAAACTGGACTATGAGCAGCTGGACTATGAGCTGAATCTTCGAGCGTGGGTGAGGAGGGAGATAACCCTCCCCGCACCTCCGCATTACATTCTCCTCGTCCTCCTGCTCCTGCTCACCACCATCGTCCCCAGTCTCCTCTCGATCGCCCCCCGCTCCAGCAGAGGAAGAACACATACACTTTCGGCACCCCGCGCGGAATCCTTGGATCCGCGCTGGACCCCCCTGCCTGTCGCGCGGAGCGCGCCAGGGGCGGCGCCGGAGGCGCCGCCGGGGGGCCCCAGCGCCGATCCGAGAAATCCGCGCGGACCTCCGAGTTTTTATGTTTATGTCACTCTTTGTTCCCCTAATTGAGGAGCGTCGAGGAGGGAGGGAGGGAGCCAGGGCGAGGGGGATGAGCAGCAGCCAGGAGCGCGAAACGCGCCAGGAGCGGCGCCGGAGGCGCCGCCGGGGGGCCCCGCGCGGCTCCGAGTCCGCGCGGAGCGCACCCATGTTGTGTTTATGGTTCGTCCTTCGATCGGGGAGACGTAAGCTGACTCGGGCACGGGGGACTCGGGTTGGCCTGACGGGGCCATCATAAAAACTGACGAGGCCCGCCGCAAACATCCCACGAAAGCGGGACCGTCAAGATCCAGGGACCGCCACGTCGGCACACCCGAGTTCCGGCTTGCTCGAGTCTTACGTTCCCCCGATTCGAAGGAGGTACCATCATGCCCCACTCGTTCTCATCGCCCTCTCCTCGGCTCCTCGGGAGCGGCCAAAGAGAAGAGGGGGGTGTCCAAGAGGGGGGGGTGCAAATCATGACCAGCGGCATGTGCGCGGCCCAGCGGGGGGGCCAGGGACGGAATGGAATAAGAAGAGGCGCCATGAGATCTGGGGAAACATCATGGCCCCCGCCACGATATCCCCCCCCCTTGTCATCACCCCCCTCTTTGCCGCCCCCGAACTCCTCCTCCTCCTCCTCCGCCTCTCCCTGCGGGCGCCGGGGTCCGCCGCCCGTCCTCCCAGGGGCAAGGGTTATGTCGGGCGTGTCCCCCTACAGAGGGATTTTCGACGAAAAATAAAAAATACCCCCAAAGTGTCTCAAAAAGGTAAAAAAATACTCCAAAAATAGTCCCCGGACCATTCTTGGACCACTTTTTGGACTATTTCCAGGGTGCCTTGTATTGTTCGGTCGAAAATCCCCCAGCAGGGGGATAGGCCCGACTTAAGGCAAGGGGGGGGGGCGCGGTCCCGCAGACCGGAGCGCAGATCGCGCGCACTCACCGGCGGGGCGAGGGCGGGGCACGGCCCCGACAGAAAGGAGCGACGTGCAACTCCTGGAGGAAATCCTCCTCCTCCTCCTCCTCCTCCTCCTCCTCCTCCTCCTCCTCCTCGCCCTTCTCCTCCTCCTCCTCCTCCTGCTCCTCCATTTTCTCCTCCTCCTCCTCCTCCTCCTCCTCCTCCTGCTCCTCCTCTTCCTCCTCCTCCTCCTCCTCCTCCCCTCCCTCCTCCTCCTCCTCTTCCTCCTCCTTTTTCTCCTCTTCCTCCTCCTCCTCCTCTTCCTCCTCTTCCTCCTCGTCCTCCTCCTCCCCTCCCAGTCGAGAATGAAGTCGGGCATGTCCTCCTAAAGGAGAGGATTTCGGGGGAAAGGGAAACATGCTCGAAGAAATGCCCACGCCGTCAAAAGATCGTCCCCTAAACTACTGTTTGATTATTGTTGCATAGCCCAGTCCCACGGAGATTAATCCCACAGGGATAATAAAGTTCGGAGTCGCGAGGGGATTATACATGTTGCCTACCGGAGGCCAGCATGTGGGAGGAGAAAGAGATGATGTTAGGAGGACCGTAAGCCGAGGATCGAGGATCGAGAATCGAAGTCCGAGGATCGAGGATAGAGATCCCAAGGTCGAGGATCGAGGTCCGAGGATCGACGGCGGCGAGGTCCGAGGATCGAGGATCGAGGTCCGAGGGTCGAAAATCGGAGATCGAGGATCGAGGTCCAGGGTGCAAAGGAGGAAGACAGAGAGGCAGAGACAGAAATATACAGATAGTTCGACAGAGGGAGCGAAAGAGAGAGAGAGAGAGAAAAAACAAAAAAAAAAAAAAAAGTAGAGAAATATGGACAGACAGAAGGAGAGAGAAAGAGAGAGAGAGAGAGAGGAGGAGGAGGAGGAGGAGGAGGCGGAGGAGGAGGAGGATGAGGAGGAGAAGAAAAGCCAAAGTTCCAAACCTATTAAATTGAATGTGTAAACGAAAAAATGGAAATTCAGATGTTCATCTGCTCGTGTAGGGTGCCTCATGTGCCTCGGGTTCCGTGGATAATAAACCACAGCGTTCAAACAAGTTCAGGGGCCAGGGAGAGAAGGATAATGACAAACAGAGAGAGAGAGAGAGAGACAGGGAGAGAGAGAGAGAGAGAGAGAGAGAGCGACAAAGAGAGAGAGAGAGAGAAAAAGAGAGAGAGAGAGAGAGACAGAGAGAGAGAGAAAGCACAAACAAAAACAAGAGAGGAGGACGAGGAGGAGGAGGAGGAGGAGGAGGAGGAGGAGGATGGGGAAGTCTCTCATCGACAAGTCTCTCGCTTCGCTCGAGACATCCTCGAATAATTGTTGGTTCCGCTGTTTTCCCCCCCCTTCCCGTCGCGGTAATCGAGGATCTGTGTATCTTTCAAATGCCACCAAATATGGCAGGATATACCACCACGCCTGGGTCTAAGGAAGAACCACTGCGGAGGACCACCAAATAGTACTAGGAGATACCCAACATGAAAGAGTAGGCAAACCACTGCAAAGCACACGTGACACATTATCAGTGCGAAACCACTTGATCCCATGGAGTGAGAGCGCCACCAACATAAACGCGTGTTTCCGAGAAGCGAGATACGAAATCGATGGAGAACCACTTCAGCCTCACAGATTGATGAGCAATGTGGTATCCATAATTGACGTCATATACATGGAACTTGGTGTAGAGGATCGCCGCCTTCCTGAATCGCCTGGAGCATGTCTGCCTGCGCGAAATGAGATCATCCGCGTCAAGGAAGCAAACTGGCCTGCATTGCGGAGCGACTTCGGCGAAGACGACGCAGTGCGGGGCGGGGGGCATCCTGGCAGTTGGTGGAGCCAAAATGACTCCAAATTACGCATGACCACAGCGAAAGGAAACAATGCGTGCGTGAATGAAAGGCACATGTATCCCATGAGAACAGCGCCAAAGAGAGAGCAAGAAGGGATGCAAGTATGAGCGTGTCAGCTCACAGCCATGGCAGCTTTCACAGCAGCGGCATTGTTTTGACATTCCGAGCACACTCCAGCGTCGCATGATTCACATATCAAGAAACTCTCATGTGCACTGATGTCCAGCCCGCAATAATCACAGCAGTAGGTTCCCGACAAAGGGGTGGTGTGATCGCGGAGCCCACGAATAGCCGAACAGTTGAGCTGAAAAGTACCTTCGCAAAGGATCACTTTGTCCACCACAAGCTGCGCATCACCAGTCGTGCCACCAGAAGGTCCCTCCAGAACCTGGGGGTCCTGAGGGGCATCGCGAACGGAGGAAACACCAAGCCTGCTTTTGAGCTCCACAATCGTCCCCATAGGGTTGACGCTGATGATGAATTGGATCATGCCGATCGGGTTGTCGAAGAGGCTGGGCTGGAGGTAGACGGCGAGGGAGCGAAGCCAATGGTCACACTGAGCCTTGCGACCAGGGTTGAGAGAAACATACTTATCAGAGAAGTGCTTCACAACTTTTGAAGCCATCGAAGTCGATGAGCAGGGGCCCTCAACCGGCGACGAGTTGACAGCCACTTCCAATCCCTGAAGAACCGCTTCTGGGTGCTGGGACAAGTAGTTTTCGACGAGATGAGAGCCTGTCTTTTGAATCTGAGAGAGTGTGCACACCGTGTTGGCCGCAACATCAGTTCCATCATCTTCAATAACATCAATAAGTGATGGGCCAGAAATTTCATCTTCTTCGCTGCTCTGCTGCACACAAAGGGCGGCGTCAGTGATCTCCTCCTCCGATGAAACAATTGGTATAATATCCATAATTTCGTCTCCGTCGTCGCCAAGTTCCTGCTTTGGGAGCGAGGAGGCAATGGCAATAATCTCAGACAATAAGGAGGACCACTTAGGGTGGGCAGCTGCATTCCGCTTCCGACTCAAGAGCCCGAGCCGATTCGAGAGAGCGTTGTGACCTCCGCTGCGAAGACGGGCTTTCGCATCTTGCAGCCGCGAGCACCCGAGGGTTTCCAGAATAGCCTCTTGGATAATAAGCGGGTCCTCATCTGCAGGGCGATTAGAATTGGCACTGAATTGGCAGATGGCCGCACGAATGGCAAAGCCGCGATCGCTGGAGCACGGCGAGGAAGCGGCAATGGAGTCGAACACACCAGTGAGCCCCATGGGCCGTGAGTAACAATTGCAGAGAGGGAGCAATCGCGCCGCCGCCAGCTCGCCAAATGGCTTGAGCCAAAATGGCTCCGGAAATAACTGTTGGTTCCGCTTGAGACATCCTTGAAAAACTGATCGTTTCGCTTGAGGCTGCCTTCAAAAATTGCTGGTTCCGCTTGCGACATCCTTGGTAACGTCTTCGCTTCGCTTGATGCTGCGATCTCAACATAAGAAGGAAGTTAACCTCGATGGTGAACTTTTCACAGTGATAAAGTTCGGCCTCCGCGCCCCGCGCCCCTGACCAAACTCTTCTTGGCCGTGGATGATCAACTCTAGCCTGGAAAGGGGGGGTCCTTTTTTATCATCGGCACAAGGTTACTCCTCGTTTAGAAGGACATGCCCTTCTTCAAACTATTGGCGCGATTTTTTTGGATCTGCAATGGACCCCGCCTCCCTGGCGCGCGGAGCGCGCCAGGAGCGGCGCCCGAGGCACCGCCCAGGGAGGGCCCAGCGTGGATTCAAGAAATCCGCTTGGAGCGCCAAAAATTATGTTCACGGCGTATTCTCTTATTCGATCCACTTCGATGACCTGCTCCTCCTCCCCCTCCTTGCACTCCTTCCACACCTCCCCCTACTACAAAACGCCGCCCTGAGCATCCAAAACATCTCCTCCTACTCCTGGGCCTCGTCCTCCTCTTCCTCCTCCGCGTCCAAAACTGAAGGGGAACTGGGACACACAAATACATAGACACAAATAACCAGATTAACCATATTTTCCAACATTTCCTGGGTTTTTGTCTTCCCCCCCACTTCCCATTATTTCCCATATTTCCTGGGACGCGACGATTACTTGTGTCTGTGTGGTTTTCCCCCTCCTGAAAAACATCCTCCACTGCCTCCCGACTCCCGCCCGCCTTTCTCCATCGAGAGCTGCCGCTTCAGCGCCTTGCTGGCATCCTCGCCCGACGCGCACGCCCCGTACTCCATGTCCTGGCGGACGCCAAGCGGTCGTCGTCGCTGTCGTCGCCTTCGTCGAGAAGGAGGAATATGGCGGGAGGGCGGGCACAGGGGTGCGGGAAGTGGTGGTGGAACTCTCGGCTATCTAGAAACTATCTCTCCCCCTGCAACTGGTGATCCAACCATGGATTGCCGTGGAGAAGGATTGGAGGCCGGGAGCCCTAACGAAACCAGCCCATGGAGAGATCCGTGCCCATCGACACGGATGGGCGAGCGAGGGCCAGGCAAGGCGGAGAAGGAAGGACGCGGTGACAAGACCGGCGCCAAACCTGGGCCAACCGGGGCCGGGGCCCGAACCGGGACCAGCCGCGGAGCAGCTCGGAACCCCTCGAGGAGGAGGAGGAGGAGGAGGAGGAGGAGGAGGAGGAGGAGGAGGAGGAGGAGGAGGAGGAGGAGGAGGAGGAGGAGGAGGGGGGAAGGCAGATGGGGGCGGGTCGTGACGAAATCACGACGGAGGGCTTTTCTTTGCTTTCGGCCTCTGGGGGGGGCGGCCCGCGGCGGGAAGGGGGCAGGGGGTCGGCTGCGCGTAAGCGTGACCCCCCATGGAGGAGTGACGCCTCCGGTGCGCGACGCTCGGGGGCCGCGGGGGGGCCGAGCTGGAGAGCGCAAGCCGCCGCGTGCAGCCACCTGAGGATCCCCCCCCCGTGCCCGCACCAGAGGTCACTCCAGCGACAGGTCACCACTCTCTTTCGGCAGTGGACAAGCCTCCCTTTCGTAAACCTCCCCTTAGTGAAAACGGCCTGGGGCCGAAAGCGACGGACCTGGACCAGAAAAAATGACGGCCGCGACGCCCTCTCGCGAACCGAAGACGGCCACTTCACTACAGTGGAGACCCATGCCAAGAAACACCTTGCTCGCCTCCAGGGTGCCCTGGGTTTCTTGGGTTTCGATGGTTTTGCGATGGATAGCGTGACGCTCCCACACCAAAAATCAATGAACATCCTGGGGTCTCAGGGTTGGGTTTCTTGTGGAAGGTTTCTTGTGGACTGGCCTCCACTGTATCCACCTCCGACGCTCTCTCACGCCTGCAGCCGGAGGGGGAGGGGCGGGCGCCGCGCGGCTCCCGGGAGCCTGGGCTGGCGCAAGAGGGGGATCGAGGTGATGTACGGGAGGCACAAGCCCGAACCTAATCTCGGGCGTTGGCAGGAGTGGGTTTCGTGGAGCCTGGTTTAGTGATTCGTACAGTCATCGGCCTGATCTAAGGAACGATAAATAAGGAACGAAACCCCTGTTTTTATCCCAAGGAATAACGCATGAGGAACGATAAATATCAAATAACGCACAAGGAACTGTAAATAACGCATGCAAACCTAAGGAACGACCGAGCCCCTTTTGAAAAGTAAGTGTTCCTTATTCAAGCCGCTCACTGTACCGGAAGCGCCCCCCCGCCCAATTTCCACTAACAACTGCCATCCCCCGAAAAACACCAGTTACGGCAAACCTGGTTCAGTGAACCTGGCCGATTGAGGGGCCCCAGGGCACTACCACTAACCGGGTCCCCTTACCCAGGGTCCTGGCTATACCCGACTACCAGTGAGGAGGAAGGCAAGGCGATGAGAGCGCTACAGACATGCGCGCGAGTTCTCGGACCCCGAGGGGGGCTCCCGTTCGAGCGGCGACCCCCATCCGACAACACACAGACACACACACATACACATAGCACCCCCTGGAACTCAAACCGGGTCGCATGGGTATGGGATTGGCGGACGCGCGAATTCCTTGGATCTGAGCTGGAACCTCATCCCTATGGCACGAGGAGCGCCAGAGGGCGGCGCTGCAGACGCCGCCGTAGGGGGGCCCGAGCCGCGAGGACCTGCAAGACAATATATACTAGACATCGCCATTCCGACAACAGACGGGTAGACTGCCTCCTGGCAAGCGCCGGTCGTCGGATCAGAGATGCCCCGGCACCGGCCCACATGACCAGGAGAGGACCACGGCGACAAAGACACGAGCAGAGGAAGGCACGACGACCGACCGACGATTCGTGACTCTGCGGTGTTAATTACTCGACGCTTTCTGCTGCCTCACGACTTTTGCGCACCCCGACTTCCACGCCGCCCCCTGCCAGCAAGAGCTCGGCGTCCCGCGGGCCAGCTTCGCGGCCAGGCGACACTGCTCTTCGACTACTCGTTCTGCTACCACTAATACGACGACTGCAACTACTACTACTGCAACTACAACATCAACAACAATCATTTAAGACTGGGGACACTCCGTTCTCACCAGTGCCAGGGTTTTCATAGGAGGCGGGCAATACCCCCACTTTGTGGGGGGGCCGGTTCAAGCTCTACCAAGTTTCCAAACGACTCTTCGCCACCACCCACACCCAGCTTCCCGCCCTATGACGTTCGGACACTTCACTTCGTGGCCTGCGGACGACCTTGGCTACTACACTGGCGCGTGGCTACTACACTGGCGGATTGTGGCCCCTGGCAGGCGCGCGAACGCCGTTGAAAGAGCTTGCGAAAACAGCTCGCGCGAGCTCTATAACATAAATGTTGAAAAACCATTGGTTTTTAAGGATTCGGACAGCGCGCGCGGGTAGAAATTTTGAAAATTCGTACAGATGTTTTTCGAGAACCTACGGTGCGATTCGTATGATTTTATGTTGCGGTGCTAAAATTCCTAAGAAACCCAATGATTTTTGAAGATTTCGGCGTGCGCGCGCGCGAAAAACGAAAAAACGAATGTGTCCCACATGGTATTATTTGACAGGGATGATGGCCCTGGCAGGCGCGCAACCTTTGTTGCAGAAGTTCGAAGCACGTGAAAAAGTTGCTCGCAAGAGCCCGTTTGACAGAAATGTTGAAAAAGTATTGGGTTTCCTAAGAAATCCGCAAGAGCGCGCGGGGTGAATTTTTGAAACCCTTTTTTTGAAAAACCATTGGGTTTTTCATGTTTTTATGTGAAAATCGCTACGAAGACTAAGGTTTTGGAAGGATTTCGTCTTGCGCGCGCGAATGTGCACTTCGTGTCATTTTTTGCAAGGGATTCTTGAAGTTTGGTCATGTTAGAACAAGAAATGTCCACTTTGCCTTATTTTTTGCAAGGGAAAACCGATCGTAACAACACAACCGGATCTGGTATACCCCGTTTTGCCTG